CTCTCTCTCTCTCTCTCTCTCTATCTCTCGCTCTCTGTCACACTTCCACCTGATCCTATCGTCTCGGTCTTTTTCTATTCCACTTTCAGTCCCTCTCAGTTTTCTTCCACTCCCTCTCTCTCTCTCTCTCTCTTTGTCTTTGTCTCTCTTTCTGAACTACTCTAAAGAATCGCCTTCCCCCGTAGCATGGCTTGCGTACTGAGCTGGAGATTGGCAAGCGCATGGATCTGCGCGGCATGGAGGAATGGAACGCCATAGCTGAGCAAATCAAGTTGATTGAGTTGCGACAAGAGCTGCTGCAGTGGGGAGAAAACGCCGAGCGCATTCTTGAGAACAAGAACGATCGCATCAATATGCTGGTCGCCGATCTGGCGCACACCAACGAGCAGCATGCTCGTAATTTTGGCCGCACCGTGGAGCTGATCGATCACATCGGCGAGTGCTACCACGCCATGCTGGAGTGCAACAAGCACATGTACGAGCAGCAGGCGGAGGATCTGCTCAAGGAGTTCTACGACGAGGTGCACCTGCGCACYGAGGAGGTGGACGCGATGCACCAGAACAGCGAGAATATCATCCACGCCTCGAACCTCTACACGCGCGATCAGCTCAAGGAGGACTACCAGATCTACCAGGAGCAGCGCGACGACTACGTGAACAAGAACATCGCACGTCGCTTCGATATACGCGACCAGGTGGTCAACAAGATGAACCAAATGCAGCGCCAGCTGACCGAGTTCGTCGATGCACTCCACAGCACCGATCTGGATGTGCACAAATACGAGCGCATTCGGATGCTCACCGAGCGCCAGCAGCAGTTCGTGGAGGACACCAAGAAGCTGAACCAGGACGAGGTGAAGTACATCGGAATGCTGCACGAGATTCAGCAGGACACGCTGCGCGTCGAGACGGAGAATAATGCGACGATCAACGATCTGCGCCTGGAGTTCGAGTACTTCTCGAATGTGCGCAAGAAGATCGAGGATCGCATGCATGCCGATCGCATCACAACGCACGAGAAGCTGCGCATACTCAGCACTGAGTGCTACGAGTTGACCAAGGTACAGTCGCCACTCGGCATCACAGACTCGCAACCTCATTCGACGCCTCTGCTCCATAGAAATTCGAGAAGATCGTGAAGAGCGGCGAGCTGCTGCTCGCCCTGTCCATCACCTGTCGCAAGCTGCAAACGGAGTCCGAGAAAATCATTGTGGGCGGCGAGGTGGTCGAGCCCATCGATGTGGGCCCGGTCGATGACGATTTCACGCTGCAAACGCTGGACATTAAGAAGCACGTGGACCTAAACGAGGAGGATCTGGTCATGTTGAACAAGAGCCTGAAGAACTTCTGGCGCCAGCAGGCCATGGCCCAGGCCCAGAACATGCTGCTGCTGGAGGAGAAGCGCAAGCTGACCGAAGAGAATCAGCGCCACATCGACTTCATCAAGTCCATGAGCAAGACGGACAATGCCGAGGAGCTGCGCGCCGCCATGATCGTTAGTCCGTGCATGAAGAAGGTGCCGCTGCTCTTCGACACCCAATGCCGTTTCCAGAAGCTGCGCATCAAGCGCGAGTCGGCCACAGCCGGGCGGGATGCCCAGCGGGAGGCGATGAACACCATCAAATTGATCCTGCATACCAGCCAATGCAGTCTGCATAATCCAAAGAAGACGGAGGAAAAGTGAACTAGAGCTAGAAGATATACATACCTAGTATATTTATAGGCAGCTTAGTAGTTGGCAAAGCTAACGAAAGAAAAACTCGAAAGTCGGGTAGCAGAATTTATTAGTTTTTCTTATGTTTTTTTAAATTGATTGAGATGTGACTGAAAGATCAGTTAGATGAGTTTAAGTAGTTATATATGGAAGCAAACTTCCATTAGAATATTAGACATATCAGACATATCAGACTGAATCAATTCACTTATTTAAGTGAATATTTCAGGTGAATTTATAAAGTGAATTAACATTGGAGATCTAGTAGAGATAAGAGTAAATTTTTTCTTATCCTAGATATTTATATGCATCAACTCGCTCATTCAAGTGAATATTTTGTTAGGTGAAAATAGAATGAAAATCAAGGACAGGCAGTTCAGATATAAATTATTAAATTGTTAGGTATATGTCAGTTATAAATTCACTTATTCAGGTGAATTTATAGAAAAATATCAGTGCAAATCTAGTAGAGTTATGTTAGTTATATATCATAAATGTAAATTCACTTCTTTGAGTGAATTTATATAGTGAAATAGCAGTGCAAATCTAGTTCAGTCAGGCTAGTTATACTATACACATATCATATATATTTATATCCCCATTAATTCAGTTATTCAAGTGAATATTACGTTAGGAGTAAAAGACACAGTTATTCAAACAGTTTACAGATACTTTATTGATATCATATATGTATGTGTTTATGTGCGTGTGTATATCATAAGCATCAAGGCAATCCAACAATTACTTATTCAAATGAAATAAGTATGAACATGAATTCAATTCAGTTTAGGCAGTTTTTTATTAGCTCTCAATCGATCGATCAATAATATCCATGTATCAGGAGGCTAGGCCTGATATATAACATACGTATATATATAATGTGTATATAAAAAGTAAACTGTACTCGAGGAACTTAGGCACTAATCAAATCCTTTGGTCAAGACAAATGCAAAAGCAAATTTAATTCACGTCATATGTAAAAAGTGTTATTYTGATAAGGGTTGTGCTCGATATGATTTCTCGATTCAGATGAACCTCAGGGGCTGGACCTTGAGGCGTTCGGCTAGGGCGGCGCAGGTCTTGAGCTGGTTCTCCAGATACTGAATGCCGCCGGCCTGGTCAACAGCCTTAATGTTATTCTGCTCCTTGTCGCCGGCGAGCAGGACGGGCTTCTCAGGATTCGTCTGTGGGGTGGGGGGAGGGGAGAAGGAGAATTTAGTTAGTCTCTAACTGGAAGCACTTCCAGCTGCAGTTCTCACCGGTTTAGTGCTGCGCAGAATGGAGTTAAAGTCACTCATGCGCTCCTCGAACTGGGGCGCAAAGCTGTTCGGATCGACGGCGATGAAGACCTGGCCCAGATCGGCGGCCGAGTTGGCGCCCGTGTGGGTCCATTTGCGGACGTGCGTGGCGTAGTTGGCGCCGGACATGACACCGGACAGGATGTCCACCATGGCACCCAGGCCGTAGCCCTTGTAGCCGGAGGTCAACTCAGTGCCGCCCAGGGGGCAGAGGCAGCCCGTTTCGAAGGCCAGCTTGGCGTCGTTGGTGACGTTGCCCTCGGGATCCTGGGCCCAGCCATCGGGCAGGGCGGCGTCCTTGCGCATCTGGATCTCAATCTTGCCCACGGCCACGGCTGTGGTGGCCATGTCCAGCAGGAAGTGATCCTGGCCACAGCCGTTGGCGCCCAGCGAGAGCGGATTGGTGCCCAGCGCCGCCTCCTTGGCATTGGTGGGTGCCATCAGCGGCGATGTATTGGTCATGGACATGCCCACCAGGCCGCTCTCCATGGCGCGCAGGGCATACCAGCCGGCCATGCCGTAGTGGTTGCTGCCCTTGGCACAGACCCAGCCAACGCCCACATTCTTGGCCTTCTTGATGGCCAGATCCATGCAGAAGTTGCCAACGACAGCGCCCAGCCCGTTGCATCCGTCCACCCAAGCCGTGGCCGGCGTCTCCTTCAGCACCACGGGCACGGCAGCGCCATCCGTGGAATTGATGGCCAGATCATTGATGTACATCTCCAGCCGGTTCATGCCGTGGCTGAAGTGACCTCGGTGATCGGCGGCCACCAGCAGATCGGCCTGAGCCTTCGCATGCTCCTCGGGCACATTGACGGCCTTGAAGCAGTCGATCATGAAGCGGCGCGACTCCTCCACCTTCACCAGTTTCTGACACGTACTCGACATCATACGCGATAAGCCGAACAGCACTGTAAAATATTAGCAAATCGAAATCGAAAACGAAATTGAATTTGGGAACTGGACTTGGATCCAAAGTCAAGAGGCGAGCGCCAGGAGACGACGTGTTGCTTCCAGATGCGAGACAGGCAAGCGACTAATGGTTAACCCTAAGGCACCATAAGCAGCCGGTCTGATAATTAAGCTAATGCTCACCAATACAACGATCTCTGGTGGGACAGAGAGCGCGAGAGTGAGTATGAATGAGGCAGAGAGATAGAGTGAGAGGGGGGACGGCGGTAGGTAAAGAGCTCACTCTTTATCGTAGCTTCCATTTGTTGTTGTTTATTTACTTTGTTTTTGTTTTTTTTTTTTTTGTATTTTGGCAAAGCCCGAAATTGCTAGAGAGGCGCGTGTACATACATATATGCATAGACTTATCAGTTGTGTAAGTATGTGTGTGTGTGTCTCGATATTCTGTATTGATATATGTATCATAAAGATATATGTATGTATATATGTATGTATGTTTGGCTAGTTTATTATGCAGCACACGAATAATGTTTTCTTTTTATAAATTCTCATTAAGTTAGTGAAATATGTCACGAAATGTGTTACACATGAATGGACTATAGAGCTTTATTATATTGAACTGTTGGGTATTACGATACAACATATGTGTGTAAATACATTTACAGTCTAAGTGAAGCCTATCAAATTTACATATGCATATTTAGCGAGAGACTAGTCAAATATTGTTTTCGAGCAGCTTTCAAAGTAAGCGATTCTAATAAGAAAATAATATATAAAGCAAACCTGCTTTAAAATGTACCTATAACATATATATTCTATATATATTCTTCCCGGGTTGGCAATCTCTTCTTAAAACCGGACTTTGAGCCAGGCATAAAACAAAGAAAATATATGGTATGATATTCTCATACATGTATTTTAAATTAAAATACTTTTTACAAGACAAAAAACTATAAAGAATATAAATTATAAAATAAAAAATCAATCAACTATATAAAATCTGCAAATTTTTATATAAAAACTAAACTTTTGTATACACAAAATTATAGATTTATAATAAATATATGAATAATTATTTTTTGACTTGTGAATATAAAAAAAATATATAAATTAAATAATTGGCATATAAACAAGATGCCTATACAATTGATTAAATTATAAATATAAAAAAAAAAATTATGATATAATAATAAGAAACAATTATAGAAAAAAATTGATTTTTAAACAAAAAAAAAGTAATATAAAAAATACCTTATGTAAAAAAAAATATGAATTTAAAATATATATAAAAAAAAAGGGTTATGTAAAAAGTAATTTCAGCATAAATAAAAATCAATGAAAATAAAAAAAAAAAAATAAATTTATTTATGTTCTATATATTGATCTAAAAAATATGTATTTTATAAAAAAAAAAAATAAAATAATATTAATTAAAAAATAATTCAAATTTCTAATCAGAATAAAGCAAAAAAAAAACTCGAAATTTTAACTAAACTAACAGCATAGGATGAGACTACCTACATAAATAAAAAAAAACTACTATATACTACTACTACTATATACCTACTACTAGTAGTAGTAGTATATAAAAAAAACTTATAGCTATCTCTAGAGTCTAGACTCATTCCAGAAACAGAGAGTGTATTTAAAAAAAAGCCTAGTCGCTTTCTATTTGCCTCTAGCAACTTATTTCGCTGGGGGCTCGCAGCACAGCAACAACTACAACTACTACAGCTACAAGCGAACATACACATATACATATATGTGAAAAAAAATATGGCCAAATATTTATTATTAAGCTATGTGTTTGTATGTTTGTATTTCCAGAAAAAAAATGAATTGTTCAAGTCTGTTGCTGCTGCTGCTGCTGCTGCCATCGCTCGTGTCTGATGTGGGCTGTGTGAGCATTTGTGTTTTGTTGTTGTTGCTGTTGGCTTGTTGTTAATGACCTTGAACTTCACTTGGTATCCATTTGAATAGGGCGCCCACACTGGCAGCCCATGGATGAATTAATTACGAGACAAATAACAACTGATGGATGGGTTGATAAATGTGTTCGATTCATTGATTATGGGATGACGGAACTTACGGTATTACAGTACTTACAGTACAGCCTTAACAAAATATGTCACCTAATGTGTTGCTAAGCTCTTGACAAGTGCCACGCCCCCGCCCAGCCATTGAATATGCGATAATGAAAGCGAAATTTGATAAGTCGCTTGAGCACAATAAAGTCGTGCAGCTTAAGCAATACGAAATAATGCAAACAAATATACACAGACATAAATATGTATATATGTATGTATATATCTGTCCGATAACCTTACTAACCGATTCGGAATAGCGCCAAGCGTGTCGGCCTCTTTATCAGTGATATACTCTGTGCGTGTTTTACAGCACTGGCTTTTGCACATCTCTCATTGGTCAAATTGTCGGGCGCCATTGTTGCGTCTTTACCAACACTGGCTGCACTTTACACATTAAATCACTTCAAATTTTGCATTGCACATTTTAACGTTGAATTTGGACAGAACAACAGAAATCAGCCAAAAAAAATTTTTTTTAATTATATAAATTTTCCTTGCTTTT